ATCTCAATATTGAGATTTTTTTTATTTTCCTTCAATTCTAATATGTCTTAAAATTGTAATCCCAGAATGTTGAATTTTCTCGAAGCTAATGAACCAAACTGCAACATAACTCTACACAACTAAAGAATGGAAAATATCGAGATGTTATAGAGTATCAATATGTATATTTTAGACTTTAAGTTGAAAAGAATAGCATAACACAAAGTACTCTACCCTATAATCAATGTACAGTGATAGATTTTGAGAACTGAAGCGTTACTGAAACAGAGGTCAAACATGAATTACAAAAAGATTTTGCTGTAAAAAGTAATCATCAATTTTCAGTGCTGAATACCATACTGACTAAATAAGTGTAAGTAATATGCCTAAATGAAAAAAGCAAGGGAGCATACATGATAGTTTAGGAATTACCTCTCAGTGCTGAATACCGTATTGAGCCTCTCTCGAAGTATTCATCACTAAATTTATAAAGAAGTCTTCTGGAATCCCATCATAGGTTAACACAGCAATTGAATAATTCATCAAAAAGTTTTTCTTCAATTGTGATCTATAATATTCATCTTCCTGTGACAAACTGAGAAGAATCTTTTTGTGAGATAATTAGTTGCTCTTTGAACCTATGATGGGATTTCGGGAAATTTCTTTCTAAATCCAATGTTAATATTTGTACCAACTGCAAAATGAAGTGAAGAAATTAGTTAGAACTTATTTTTAAAACAAGCTGAGAATTTTAATCAAGAACTGGAATTCGTCACATTCATTAATTAGAAAGAATGCTGAATTCATAAGAAATGAGGTAGGATCCTGAAATTTAAAAAAAACCAGTAAGATTATAAAATTACATTCTTCTCTTCAGACAAAAAAAAAAAAATGTATAATATGCAACTTCACATAATTTGTTTACTCAGCGATGGAAATGAGGAATAATTACTTACTGGAACACGTGAAAACTTTCATTGATCTCCTTTTCATAATTTAGTAAGAAAGATTTACGTTTTGAAGAAGAATAAAAAAGAACATACCGAGCTCTTCACAAATCTGTGAAATAGAACAAAATGATATCATTTGTCCATATAAGACGTAGGATAGACCTTGATATGGATACTATGTGTGACAGAAGAGATCCCATTTGCAATATGTTGGATGATGTCCACATGGAAGTGGAGGTAATAAAATAAACAAAGTTTAATACAAAATCACAAAAGTTTAAGAATTGACTTGATGAAGCACTATGTTTTGAGAGGATCCCTGCTTTTATAAGTCTACTAATAATCCTGGTGAAAGGAAGTCAATAAAATACAAAATCATACATAATGACATTGGTCATAGGAAAATCAACGAAGAAAATTATGACCTAAACTGGTACCTACTTTAGGTAAACTGTTCACTTTTTTTACTTTCTTCTCCAGTTGCCTTCACTTACCTACAGTACAACGTATCAAGGCAAATGGCATTCCCATTCTACCCTTAACCACAGCAATTAATGAAAATATTTTGTAGTTATGAATGCAAGGGCATTTCTGGCAACCGAATTGTGATTTGGAGGGTGTAATGGTCCTTTCAACCTTCGCTGCACTTTCTTCTTCCCATCACTCCGAGAAAAGAATTAAACTGCTTTGCTAATTTCCCTTCAAATTCAAAATGAATAAAATTTCCAAGAAAATTTATAACTCGGAAGTTACTGAATCCGAACCTGAAGTGGAACGCAAGCTTCACATCATTCAACCATGGAAAAACCTGCCTGGGAATTTGGGTATTTCTTCATCTCATTTTCTTGTTAGTTTGCAATTCCTATTAACAATTACATTTTAAGGTTGTATTTATTTTATTGTAGTTGTCTTTCATAATGATTAAAGACAACCGTCCGTTAATGTAATTAGCAATTGAGATTAAGGCACCCCGTCCCTCATCTGATTAAAGCTTTATTATGATCTCCATATTTATTCTTAAGATTTCTTTGGTTATTATGTGGTGGTTGAGGAGGCGAAGGATGCTAAATTAAATTATTCGAAAATCACAAAATTGTCTAATGCTGCCGGAGGTGGTAGAGAAAGCCGCAGTGGAATAACAAATGTTCTCCTTATCTCTATTTTTTTTATTTTACATCTAATTCCTTCTATGACTTTTTCTAAAAATCTGATTTTTTAGCAAAAGAAAATGGGGCTTAGTCTCGAAGCGTGTGAACCGAACCTA